GGGAGCTGAGAGGAGGAAGTGCCTTGGTGTTTGAGAGGCAGCTGCGGTCAGGGACTAGAGAGAGGAGAGAGGCTGCTGTTGTGAGAGAATGAAGAAGATTTGAACGGGGTCAATTAACGCGCTTCAATTTTTTATGAAGTAACTGACCTTCAAGGTTTTATAGATTAATGTAGTTGCTTAAAGAGCATCCCTGGGTTCTGATCGGTGTATGAAAAGCTTTTCTTTCTTTGGAAGATGAGTTGCTGTCACCTGGGAAAAAGAAGTGCAGGATAAACGGAAGGAGCAGCGCCTTGCTTATATTAAAAAGTAGACAGACATTCTTCCTTCGTTGCTTCACAAGGTTTTTTTTAGATAGGCCCTGTATCAATGCTACTTTTAGTACAAGCAGGTGGGCCAAATGAGTGTTACTGGAAGTCAGTGGATAGCCAAAGAACGAGGTCATGCCTGTGCTGCAAAACTGTTAGCTTATAATGAGCCGCAGGAGAGTCTCGTGTTGTAATCAATTACTTTTAAAAACTGCATGGTCTTTGACTATGTTAGGCTGCCTTATAATACTCCTGTGGTAAATATTTAAATATAATGATGAATGTCTGTGTACTCCAGAGACTTTCAATACTTAAAAAAAACTTTAAATAAAAAAAAAGAAATAAAAAGTATTTTTCAAACTTTAAATAGTTATTTGCACCAGTATATGATTCCAGAGAAAATAAAACAAGCTACCTGTCAACCAGATAAATTACTTTTATGTTATCTGTCTCATCTTAACAAACAGTAATTGAATATTGCCTTACAAATACAGACTAAGACATTCTTTTATTGTGATCTTTCTATTTTCCTGCTATTTTCAGAATTTCTCACAAGGTTTGATGCCTCAGTACAGTGTAAGGTTCTTTTGAAAATTATGTCTTTCACATTATAAAAGAGGACAACAGAAAGGTCATGACATGCTGGATCCGATGATCATTTAACTCTGTATCTCCATCAATTGCTGCAGTGGAATCAGTATTTTTCCATGTAGTCTCTAATTTGCCTTCTTCCTTGTGTTGCAATGTTTTCATCTGTTTTGAGAACAGTCTCTGATTTCATCATTTCCATCTCTGTTTTAGCAGCTCCATTAATATGCCCTTCTTGGAGTGTCCTGTCTTTAAGTGTTTTTTCCATCTGCAGTCTAATCTTTGTTGCCATTGGGAGCCTGTATCTCAGAGCCATAGTAGCAGAGGCTGTGGAGAGCATCAGGGTTTTTTTTGCTGTAGCATCCCCATGTATTCAGGCCAAAGCATGACTTGACGTGATTTGCCCCCTTTCCCTAGACAATGCCACAGTGTTCTGAATTACTCTGTTCCCTACCCCACCATAGTGGTAAGAGAAGTAATTTTATGCTGTTAAGGCTTTAGCTCAAAATGTTGGAAACCCAAAGAAAGTATTTCTGGTGTCAAGAATGCTGGACCAGTTGTGACCAACTTGCTAACTATACATGAATGCTTGCGAAATGAAACAATTGGATTTCTTGAAACATTGTGAGGGAGAAGCTTTTCTAGGGCTTCTAAGGAAAGAATAATCACTTCCGAAGGAATAAGGGAATGTTCATGTACAGCTGAAAAATACTAAATCTGGAGTGGTGTGGCCTAAAGAGCAAGCAGTCTGGGGCTATTAGCCGTTTCTGCTTACAAAGAAATGAGGTCCCCATACCCTTGTTCAGCTGTGCCTCCTGTCTACTTCTGTGTATCTTTTGAGTGAGGTATCTAGATTTTGACCCACTTACCTGCAAGTGGTCTTTTGCAGAAAGAGGGGAGAAAAAAACAAAACAAAACTGACACACTGAGCTGTGTTTGTGCTCAGGCAAAAACTCATGTGCTTCTGCCAGCTTGAGTGATATGGCTCACACTACCTCTGTTTTGTACAGAGAGCACTGCTGAAAGGAGGCCAATGTTGTGTAGTCTACTGATAAATCCTTTAATCTTTACTTCTGACTGCCTGACAGATGTTCTAGGAACTGGTAGTTGTAACCCAGCATTTCCCTTGGTCCCTGCATGCAGAGGAGTGCTGCTGTTGCAGACCAGAGTGAATACGGGGAAACGTGGCAGAGGGCAAATTGCAGAGCTTTCTGCAACAGTGGTGGTGTACTTCAGTGTGCTGTGGTTGTGGCTACTTGACTTGACTGTTATGAACAGATCTCTAACAGGGAGTGGAGACCTGCCTTAGCAAGTCTTTTCTAAATTGTTAACCACCTGTTTTGCTGTAGAACATTGAGGTTTCTTTGAGTTCTTGGAAACTGGCGGTGCTCAAGACTGAGGGAGTGATTTGGCTTATCCTAAAAGCGGCCTGAATATCTTTATATTAAGGGTGTTTCTCAGTCACTGGGTCACTCAGGATTATGTACCTCTGTTATGTCCAGGGATACTTTCGGAGCTCATACCTCATTTCCATCTTGCTCATGTCTGTGTGTCCTTTATTTCTTCCTAATCCTTACTGTCCTGGACAGCTGGAACTCCAAAGGGCATAAAGAGTGAGGACATCCATCATCTTGGTAGTCAGAGAGTAACAGGAGGTTTTGGTTCTCACTCTGCCGTGCTAACTTGACTGTCATAAACAGGTTGACTCAAAGTGTAAAGAGTGGAAAAGAGTTGTGTGGGGTGTGTGTGTGTGTCGTTTGTTGATGGTTGGAATTTTGGTGGTTTTTGTTTGTTTGGTTTGGGTTTTTAGGAGCAAGATACCAGCCACTTTGAAACTGACCGTAGGTGAAACAAGCCTCAAATATGCTCAGTAGCAGCACTCTGTGGTGGTGCTGCTGAAGGTTCTGATAGTTGGCAGAAGAGAAGTTGTGCTCATGCTAGTTTTGTGTTGGCAGACTTATGGCAAGTGGCTAGAAATGTCTCTATGTGACACTCATGCTTTTCCTTGGCATGTGTGCTTTCTTGTAAAGGGTGTTCTTCAGTATTGGATTGATTATTTCTTTGCAGATTTTTAATACTTGTCTGCTAAGGAAACAGCATTGAAAGCTGGATGACTTGGATATATAGCTCCCATTAAACTTTTTATGCCAAATTGCTTGATGCACTTGTAGAAAAATCTCATAATTTAGAAGCAGTGTAGGTGGAAATAATTTCCTATGACAGTCTTCACAAAACTAACTGAAATTTGATTTGTTTGTGAAATAAGCTGAAGCAAAATTAACTATAATAGACTGGAATTAACACATTATGTGTTCAAACAAGTTGTTCTCTGTTTTTGGTATTGGAAATGTCTGATGGTTTTTTTTGTCTTGATTTATAGGTTGAAGACTTTGGGTGACAAATCAAGAGAATCAAAAAAAAGCAAGCAGAGGTACTTCTGAACATCTTAATGTATAGCATTGATCTAGGATGTTCTTGTTAAAGAAAAATTTGAAAGGGGCTTTTTTGTATGAGCCAATTACAAAAACATATGCATGTAATTTTACAGAATATTCTTTCAATAGCAGAAAAGCGTAAACTTAATATTGAGGAAACGCTTAGATTACTAGAATTTTGATAGACCTAAATAATTTCTGATGGCAACCAGTCAAATTTTAAATGACTATTTAAATTATGTGTAAATTCAAGTTATTGTACTACTTTGTACAAGATTCAGGTTGCAGTACATTGAAATGTAGTTGTTTACAATCTCTGTGAATCTTACGTACTAATTTTTTTTTTTAGTGTAAGAACAGAAATGAGTCTTTTTATTCTGAAAAATATGTATCTAATGGAGTACTTTGTCTGTTTTCATCTGTTGCAAGAAGATTTAAGAATTGTGATGGGTTTTTTTTCCTCTGCATTTTAGTATATTGTTCATTCTTTCAACCTATGTAAATAAAAAGGAAAGAATACTTACTACTTCAAATAAGCTCAGATGTGCTTTAGTGTAAAGCATGGTCTTACTAAAACACAGCATGTACACACAAATTAATTTAAAAACAAGCCCTGAACAAAAAATACGGCATCTGAAATAGTGTATTAAGTTCTGCAGCTTGGTGTTTTGGCTGTAAAGGTGTTTTATCAGAAAACTGGTTGAATTGACAAGACACAGAAACTAAACTAAGAGTGACTGAAGGTGTGAATACAACTTTTAGGCAGCTGCCTTTGTGTTTTTTCTAGTCTATAATATTTTGGTTCATCTGGTGTACTGTAAATATCCATCATTTTTTGAGAAAAGCACTGGGCAAACCAATTGAATCATCACAAACAGGGGAATGCCATTCTGCTTTGCTTATAAGGTTCTGGGACAAATATAGCTTAGCTTGATTGTAAGGATGGCTGAGAGCTTGTGGGTGAGGATCAGAAGAGAGGCCAGTAATGGTGATGTTGTGAAGGGACTTCGTTACTGACCATCTGATCAGAGAGTGAATGATGTCTTCTCTAAATGGCTTGAGGAATTCTCTATATCATTAAACCCCCATTCTTGTGGGGGCCTTTAACATCCTTGACATCTGCTGAAAGGACAGCACAGCAGGGTGCAGTCAAGAGGAGTTCTGGAGGGTGTCAAGGATAACTTCTGGATATCTTCTTCATAACTTCTTTAGCATACAGGAATAGCCTTAGGAAAGCCAGAGCTCAGCTAGAATTGGTGCTTATAAGAGATGTCAAGGACAAGAGGAAGAGCTTGTAGCTCTGCATTGGTAATAAAAGGCTGAACAAATTAAATGTGGGATTGTTGATCAATGGGGTGGATGATTTAGTGACTGCAAATGTGGATGTTGTTGAGGTACTCTATGCCTTTATTGCTTCAGTCCTCACAAGCATAGTCTCCCAGTCCTCTGTGCTCAGTGAAAGGAAGAGACTGACCAGTGGTAGATGAAGATCAGTTTGGAAATCTCAGCACATAAAAGCCTATAGCACCATACAGGCCAAGCAGTACTTTATGAAATTCAGGAGGTACAAATCCAAAGTCTTTCCCTGGGAAGAAAGTATCCCCTGTGACAATACAGACTGTGGCTGACTGATTGGCAAAGAAGCAGCTTTGCTGAAAAGACCCTGGGCATCTCGGCAAACAGCAAGTGAAATGTGAGCCAGCAGCACGCCTGGCAGCAAGGAAAGCCAACAGCTTCATGGGCTGTATGATCAAGGCCACAGGCAGAGGAACTGTGGGAGGTGATTATCCCCTACACTCCTTAAACCACATCTGGTTACTATTTTGGTCCCCTGATGTAAGACATTGATAACCTGCAGCAAGTTTGGTAGATGGCCGCCAAGGTGGTTGGGGTTGGAAGCCTCTGTATGTGAGGAAAGGCTGAGACTGGGGCTTGTTCAGCCTGGAGAATAGATGGCTTTGAGGAAGCCTAACAGCAGCCTGTGGTTACCTATGAGGAGGTTATCAAGTAGGTGGAGCCAGGCTTTTGGTGCTGGTATATGACGGGAACATGAAAGCGTAAGTTGAAACAAGAGATGTTCAGTCAATAAAAGACTATAAGGAAAAGCTTATTCCTCAGGATGATTAAGCAGTGGAACAGGTTGCTCACAAAGCCTGTGAAGTTTCTGTTCTTCAAGGTTTTCAAGTTGCAACTGTACAAAACCTTGACCAAACTCATCTGATCCCATAGCTGGTCCTGCTTTGAACAGGAGGTTGCACTAGAGACTGCCTGAGGTCCCTTCCCACCTTACTGATTCTATCACTTTTCCCTTGCTTTAATGAGAAAAAAAACCAACAACCAAATAAAAACAAACAAACAAAAACAACAAAAAGCTTTCATTTATGGTATTTATTGTTTTCCATTCAAATTGTTTGGATGACAGTGCAAAACAATCTATTCTGGTAATCTTCCAAGAGACAAATCTTGGATGACATCAAGATCTTCATGTAATACATTCTTGAAAGTGCGGCATTGTTAATTTTCTTTAACTTATCATAAGGTGCCTTTAAATTTCAAGCTGTTACTAATGAAAATAGGGGATCATTAGAGCATTAAACTGGCAATGGTTCTTTAACTTAGGATTTATTTTTAATGTAGAATACATTACATGCAATATCTTTATTGAGGGATATAAAGAACTTGTGTAGTAGTATTTTGAGAATATTTCTGTCCACTGTTTTAAGTTAAAACCGTGTTCATCCTGTGATAAGAAATTGTCTCATAAAAGTTGTTTTTAATGGACAAAAATGAGCTAATAATGGGCTACCATAAAATAACAAGGGGATAGAAAACCAATCCTAGCTTTGGAATGTTTTTGTATGATACACTGTAATACATTTTAAACTAGAACAGAAAAAATGTTTGTGAAATTGAACAGTAGGGAATATTTCTGTGTTCAGCATATTTGTCAAATGCAGATATGTACGTGCATGTTTTTTATAGCAGCCTTCTATTCATTAACAACAATTGTATTTTTACAATTTGTTTTATAGAACTGTTCAGTGTTTGCCAGAGTTTTCTGCTGGACTGGAATTACTGAGCAGGTATGATTTTCCATTTCTTTGTTAGTGTCTACTTCCTGTAATTTCAGTAATAACTTTACTAGGTTAAGAAAATTAGAAGAAAATGAAGGTGCTGCTAATAGGTTTTTTTGGATATTCTACAGTGAGTAGAGTGAGGGTGGCTACCAAATGATAAATATGTTTGAAGCTTGACCAGCCCTTAAGTGCTGTCACGTTAATGAAACAGAAATTCTGGAGGAAAAGCAACATTTGGAAGATTACTTTAGTTCAGGGTCTAATGCCCAGGGATGAAGGAGACCAACACTGAGGCCCAGCCTGTGGTTTTAATTTGATATTTTGTGACTTTTGCATATTTGACATTTCATTCTGTTATAATAGAGACAATATGCCTGTTGTTGCCATGAAAAGAAAATGTATTCCTTGTTTATTTAATCACATATTTTCTGAGTAACAGAAGCTATCTGCATTATAAATTTCCTTTGTATTTTTATCTTAGAAAGAAAAAAAAATCTCCTTTTTTGTGGGTTGGGGTGTGATACAATTTTGGTGGGATTTTTTCATTTTCTTAATGAAATTGTGTTCCAAGTAGTGCTTAAGGATTTTTTGTGTAGTTTTATAAATATTGCTGGGTTCATTTAGCTCTTAGTGTAAGCTAGCATTTTAAAAATCATGAATCGCTTTTTCTTTGAAAGAAATTATTTCTTAGTGTGTATTTCTTCTTGGTATTTACTGTTCTACTGAGACAACTATACAGCTCTTTAAACTGTTATTTCTGGCAGTCTCTGTAAATATAAGCACAGGGGCATCCATTAAATCCTCTTCCTTTATAAGATAACACAGTAAAAATAGTAATTTGTCTGTCTTCTCTTCAGATATGAAGATGCTTGGGCTGCCCTTCACAAAGGAGCCAAAGATTGTGCAAAAGCTGGAGAGGTAAGAAAAAATAACAAAGCCATGCTTGAAATATTTTTTAATGTGTAAATAATTTTAAACTAAAATTTTTGCTACCAGCATACTGGATTGACTGTGGCCACTAGGTACACATCCTCACAGCCTTGTTCACTCTCCCACCAGTGGGACAGAGGAGAGAACGGGAGGAACAAAGATCAGCAAGCTCATAGTTCAAGGTAAAAACAGTTTAATAATTACAGCACAGAGGAAAAAAGGTGATGCAAAAGCAGTCAGTCTCCTACAAGCAGACTAGTGCCCAGCCAGTCTCAGAGCAATGGTTACCTTGGAAGATCAAATCCTTAGTTTTTATTGTTGAGCATGGTATGAAATATCCCTTTGGCCAATGGTCAACTGTTCCAGCTGTGCCCCCTTCCCAACTTCTTGCCCACCCCCAGCTTGCTCAATACAGCAGAGTGAGGGTGAGTGAGGAAAAGAGAAAGCCTTGAGACTGTACAAGCCTTGTTCAGCAATAGCCAATACATTGGTGTGTTATCAACACTGTTTTGGTCAGAAATCCAAGGCACAGAACCATATGGGCTTCTATGAGAATGTTAACTCCATCCCAGCTGGATCCAGTACAACCAGTATAATGAAAAAGTAATGCTTCATATTGCTACCTGGGGAAAATGCCATGTTGCATTGTTTTTAACTATGATTTTAAGGTGATAGTTGACAGGCAGCTGATGGAATGGATCAGAATGTCTAGTTCCTCGTGTTTCTCACAGCTCTTCCAGATTTGATGGTCCTTAGCATACAATTAATATTCTTAAAGTATTACATATATATATATAGTAAAAATAGAAATTCTCTGTGATCGTTATTTCTTACAAGGAATAATCTAACAAGAATTATCTGACGTTCAGTCTCCTGTTTACTTTTGGATATTTCAATCACTATAACTAACATTGAGCATGAGAATTTCCTAGTGCTTTTAAGGTATTTTTCAACAGTACATTGACACACAGAATTTGTTTTGTGTTCAGATAGTTGCAATCAATACTTGCACTTAAGCAAAAAATATTAATTATATCAGTTTACTGTTTTTCTGTGGAATGTTAAGTTAGAAATTACACTGAGAAATACAACTTTGTCAGTGTGACAAGAAGGTGACGGTAAAAATAAGGCACCTCCAGAAGTTCAGGTGGTCAGTTTTTGCACTCTTCTGCCATTATTTGAAAGATTTTAAGTTATCTTGGAATATTATTTTGAGACTGCTTAAGACATTTCATCATTGCTAAAAAATGGCAAGGTAGGCAATAAATAGTAATGTAAACAATGTAATGCAAGCAGTAATGTAATGCAAACATTAAATAACATCATGCAATCTAAACAGTTGCAAAAATGATGTTGCATGTTACTGCTGTAGCTCCTTAAAAGCATTGAGGGCGCTGGGAAGGTGTAGAATAGATTTGGAGTTTGGGCATTTTGGTGGATTAGTGTCAGGGTAGGGCTGCTGCCTAGTGACCAGGAAAGGGCAAGATGTGACTCGTCCGACTGAAAATATTCAGAAAACGTCTGTGCTTTCTCTTAATTTTGTTCAGTGTTCCAGCCCTGTAAGTAAAATGTCAAGTTGTGTGGTTTATTTCTGGAATGAAGGGAAAGAAGACCTCCAGTAAGTGCTACCAATGCATTGCTCTGCTGCTCTGGAGGTCCTCACCAGACTTTTCCATTCAAACTCTGTTCAAGGGGCAGACAGTGTAAGCTGAGTGGCCATGATGCAGAGCAGGACTGAGCTGTGGGGTCTCTGTCCTGGCTGAAACTTTGTCTTTGGCCAGCTGTGTCCTCCCTGACTCTTCTGGTTTCCTTAGGAGTATTCTCTGTATTATTTTTCAATGGATAAAATCCTCACTGCTTAATATATTTTGAAGAAGTGTATTTAGGGTAATGAAGATATTATATTTTCACAGAATCACTCGGTTGGAAAAGACCTCCAAGATCATCATGTCCAACCGCTCCTGTCTACCCCCTAAACCATATCCCGAAGTACCTTGTCTACCCGCTCTTTAAATACATCCAGAGATGGTGACTCCACCATCTCCCTGGGCAGCCTGTTCCAGCCTCTGACAACCCTCTCAGTAAAGAACTTCCTCCTTATCTCTAACCTGAACTTCCCTTGGCACAGCTTGGTGCCATTTCCCCTTGTTCTATCCTCCATCACCTGGGAGAAAAGACCAGCACCCACCTCTCTACAACCTCCCTTGAGGTAGTTGTAGGTGGTGATGAGGTCTCCCCTCAGCCTTCTCTTCTTCAGGCTAAACAACCCCAGTTCCCTTAGCTGCTCCTCATAAGGCTTGTTCTCCAGACCCCTCACCATCCTTGTGGCTCTTCTCTGAACACGCTCCAGAATCTCAACATCTTTCTTATAGTGAGGGGCCCAGAACTGAACACAGTACTCGACGTGCGGCCTCACCAGTGCCGAGTACAGGGGGATAATCACCTCCCTGGACCTGCTGGTCACACTGTTTTTAATACAGGCCAAGATGCCATTGGCTTTTCTGGCCATGTGGGCACAGTGCTGGCTCATGTTAAGCCGACTGTCAACCAACACCCCCAGGTCCTTCTCGTTCAGGCAGCTTTCCAGTCATTTTGTCCTTATTTCTCTTGCCTGATAGCATGGCCCACCTTTTCCAGTGAAAACCTTTTGTAATTAGAGATCAAGTTCTCTCTGCCAGCGTTGTGTGCTTTATTGCTCATGATGATTTTTTTAAAAGATCTCTTAAATGACTTGCTTAGAATTTTGTAATGCTTTCAGTAGTTTGCTTTATAAAATTGTAGTTAGAAAACAATGTGAGTTCACATATATATGTATGTGTGTGTGTGTGTGTGTGTATATATATATATACACACACATATATAAGACCAGTGTAACCTTAAACTCACATATTATGGATGCTTGGGAAAATGAGAATGAAAACCTTCTGAAAGAGTTTAAAATTTTCAGTGAAATTCAGATGATTACTTTTGGGAGAATCCAAAATATGTGTTGCTGGTTTTTGTTTTGTTATTTAGAAATGTAGAAAATATAGGGTTCAATAAAATAAGAATTACATAAGCACACAAGCTTGACTGTACTGTATCACACCTAAAGGTCCACTTGTCTAGTCTCCTATTTCTGATACTGGCTGGTAGCAGATAAACTACTTGTGCTGTCTTATTTATAAATGTTGAATAGAGAAATGAAAGTGAAAATTTCAAGCTTTAATTGCTGCCTGCAATCTTAGCATGTTAAATTATAGATACTAACTACTAGTTCCATATACACAATTGTACTAAAAATAATGCTTTTAGATTATTGTAATTTTAGCTACGTTCAGTTATCTCTGGGCTGAAATGTTTTTCTGGTGTTTCCCCCCATCATATGGTGGAGTTTTTTGGTTTGCTTTGCAGTTTAACTGATACAAATCCCATATCTCATTCTCAAAAATAGACTTGGCTTTATTTAAGTAAGGATTTTGGCCTTTTGAAGTGTTTCATTACTCCTTGGGCTTTGGAATAAGTTTTCAAATCATATCTAGTAAAACAGAATGGCTTTTTGACAGGGATAGGTAGCTGAAGGAATTTGGAAATGGGAGGAGTTGTTATTCTTCTAAAAGAATTTGTCTGAAGTGGGTAGAATTGTAAATCATTGAGAACTTCCTTTGGCCATTGCTCAGACATTTTCTGTTTCTGCAACTAAATTCTACAAAAAGTGAGGAATCCGAAATGCAGATACAGCCACAAGCTGCAGTTGTGTGCAAGAGGAAGACTGGGTAATGGAACTAAGAGCAGGGAGACTATAATTGAATCACCTGAAGTGTCATATATAGGGGAAACATTTGTTACCTGATCTCTCAATCTTGCTGTTGTTCACAGAATCTGACCTATTTAAATAAAACTTTTAAGCAGTGTATTCATAAAATGTTTCCTATATTGATTAGTATATTGAGAAATAACTTTTAAAATCTTGTTTTTATCAATGCATTTTGACATAAATATTTCATATTTCATAAATATTTCTTGACCATGTTGTATATTTACCTGAGAATTAGACAAGTGGCAGTGTTTTAAGGTTGCCGTGCTGATCTTACACTTGCAGATGTGTGAATTCTAAAAATTAGTCAAGATACTTGTAAATAGGTTCATAAACTTGCCAGTAAAGAACCTGTTTGTTTCAGCTGGTGGATAGTGAAGTTGTGATGCTTTCTGCACACTGGGAGAAGAAAAGGAACAGTCTGGTGGAACTACAGGATCAGCTCCAACAAATACCTGGGTTTTTAGCAGATCTGGAATGCCTCACAACAAGCCTAGGTAAGGTTGTATAACAAGCATTCAAGTCAGTACAGAGGATTAGATGGAAGTTCAGCTGTTGTGTACTTTGCAATGATAAAATTTAATTTTCTTCCCAAACATCCTTTCTATTATAAAACAATGGTTCTTTAACAAACTGATTTTGTCAAAGATCAAAATGAGTAGTGGTTTCTCTCCCAGCAGTTAAAATATTGTATGAGTCATTATTTGGAAAAAGAAAATTGTATGGCAACTGCATATCTGGGTGTGAACAGCTGAAAAATAGTGTTCTTGGAGTCTTTTTAAATTCTTAAAGATTTGTAAGTAGTGTGAACACTCATGTATGCAGTTGCTTCTCTTTAAGTCTATGTAATTTTATATAATAATTTGTTTAAAAACATCATTTGCTTGGTGGGGTTGGGGGTGGGCAGGAAGAAATTAACCTGGCTTGGGACACTTTCAAGGCAGAAACTTTTTGTTGAGAGTAATTGTTGGTTCTGTAGATTAAGTTAGTGTACTAGCTTAAGCTATTCTGAAGTGATACCCAGCTGAGTGAAACTAGCAATGCTACATATTAAGGTTACCAAATACCTCATGATTGTTAAATGGATTCCAGTTTTTAGAACTTTACCAGATGTTAACATGTCGATTTACTTTAAAAGATGAAAAGGTGACTCCTTTAGTGCTCTACCTCTGGAAGCCTCTCATACAAAACTGTTGGTCCACTGTTGAAAATGAAATTAGGAAAAAACTGTTCTGGGCTCTCAGTCTCCGAAAAGCTCTAGTGTTACTGAGCATTGAAATGGGGACACAGTATTTTACAGGCAGCAAGCCTTTCCATCAACAGTAGGCCTCTTGCTCGCTCCATGAACATCTTTTCAAGTTACATCAAAACAAAATTTTGGAAAACTGCTGTCTGTGCATGGATTTTAAAAACAAAGTTCCCCAGGGACTCTGCCTGCAGTATTCCTACACCAACTGAGAAGTACGCAGAAATTCTTCATGTAATTGCAGCTCTTGCTTTCTGTGGGGTGAGCTGGATTTGTGAGCCAGCATCTGATGTAAAGATAAAGGAGAGCTCTTTTCTGTGTTCAAAGGCTAATTTCTCATTCTTCTATGGTCAGTGGATATGCACAGTTCGGCTTGTGTTCCTAGGTAGGCTGGTAATAACTTTCATATTTCTTTCTGAACCAAGGAATGTATTTCATTTTTTATTACAATTTTCTTACACCACCTTATTTAGTAAGGCTTTATCATGTGTGGTAACCATTTAATGTTGGCTTTTTGAAAAACTCAATTATTTTCTAAGGAAATATCAATTCAAATAATGATTTATTTAAACAGTGATTTAAATATCATGCACAAAATGATGCAGTCCACTGGTAGTCCAAAGATAAACAAGATAATAAAACCTAGTGGAATTATCTTTATAGTTCATAACTGCAAATGCTGTAAATCCTAATGAAGTGGGGTTACCTTCCCATTCCTAATATTTCAATTTTACGAACCAGAATTAATCTCACCCTGACTGTAGTATTACTTGGAGAAGGCTCACTGTCTCTACAATATTTTTGATACTATACCAGCAGAATTTAAGGAAGCATTAACCAGTCTGCTCAGGGAAGCTAATGAATTTTGAAGTCTATTACTAAGGTTGTGAGATTTGAACCAGATCTTCACCTCATGTATCTGATCTTAAGTAACACACCTAGAGGTTTTTATTAGTTCCTTGTAACCATTGTGAGTTTTTTTAGATATTTTTTTTTCTGATGAGCTTTGTAGAGTCTATTTGAAGAGAAAGTTGTAATTTGTACCAATTTCAACATCACTTCTGAAAGTGATTACCAGAAATGTGATATTCTGCTCACTGGTTTTAGTTTTTATAACTTCAACTATCTGGTTTTTATAAATGTAAACTGTATTTACTTTTCCAAGAGATGATTAGTACCATGGCTGTGAATTTTAAAGATGAGTAAAACATTCTGTAAAAAAAACCAACCAACCAAACCACCAAAAAAAAGCAAACACAAAAGTGAATATAGAATTATAAACTGCTGTGTCCTGGGTTGTGCATCCAAGATGTAATTTAGCTCATCTTCATAATTTCAGAAAAATAATAGTTCCGTGTTGTGACGTGATGCACTTCTAATAAATCTATTAATGCTTTCATTTTAAAAGTAAATAGGGAACCTTGGCTGCCTTTGATAAAAGTAATTTCAGATTATAGAAATGAGCCCTTTTAGTGACCTACTTAAAATCGGTATGAGTCTTGTACAGATTCTTCAGCTTTTGCTGTGTATTACAAGACCCATTTTGATTAGCACTTCTATAAATAAAGTCCTTTACTTTAGGTATTCACAGTATCGGTCATCCCTCACTTCAAGTAAAAAGTCTGTGTCTTCACCTGATAAATTTATTGTATTTTGCAATGTCGTGTAGCTGCTATTGAAAACCTTGAAGAAAAAATTACAGTTACTGCCCTTGCAAAGTCCAGGATTTGAATAATCACTTAAGCCATTTTTTATTTGAGATGTTGCAGAAAATACGTGCTTGCCAATATCTCACAAAATTTTCTTAATATGAAATATGCTTCATTGTTTGAGCAGGGGCATTTTGCTCAAATACTGGTTTTGATTTCAGCAGATCAATGTGCACAAACCTTGATCCAAATACAATTTTCAATACTTTTTTTCTAATATCTAACATTAATCATCAACTTGATATCTGTTTCAGAAAGGCTGGAAAGCCTGTTCTTAAACATAGTTGACAGATCCAACGTAGGGTGAAAATGTTTATAGACTGGTGAGAATAGAAAGAAAATAAGGCTGGGTATATATTCATAAAGATAAAAGCCATTGCTTCCTGATATTTAATAAATATTTTTTTCCAAGTATGGGTAAGCTGACTGTGTAGATCCATTAAGGAAATAGAAACTTTTCACGCTGTTTAGGGGAGGTATCCTTGTTTATATCTTAAGCAGAAGGAGATACTTTATTTTCAGATTGTGTATCAAGTATGAAAGTCGTCATTTTCTAGCTCTGCCAAATTAAATTCAAATTGTTCAGAGAAGCATAAGTATTTTGCATAAAAGAAAAAGCATGTGCCCTTTGTTTCAAACATAGGATTAAAGTCTTAATGGCCTCTTAAGACATTAAGGAAATGTAGTAAAACTTGTGAAATACAAGGTCACAGTGATTATAGTATCTTTTTCATTACAGACAAGGTATTGATTTTGGTAGCATTTGAACTACTTTAAGAACTTAATACCTCTTATTTTGGGTACTTGTTTTGCAGCAACAAAGTATGTGTTAATGAAGTATACTTATTTTTTAATTTCTTTAGAAAAATGCCAAAGATTTTTCCAGTTTGAATAATGCAATATACTTCCAGCAATATCTTGTATTCTGAGATTATGGAATTTAGTTTTTGCTCATTTAATCAGTTTGTAGACAGCCTCTAAAGCAGCACTTGGAGGAGGAAATAGTATAGTGAGTAACAGCCCAACTTATCTCTTTGGACAAGACATGTGTTTTTGAGGAAGATAGGTCATTACTTTACTACTGCCTATTTATTAATTGTGGCTTAGATTAATTGTAATTTAGGTAGTGGTAGGTATTGGTCAAGTAAAAAGGAATTTAAGATTGAACAGTATGTTAACCACGATTTTTCACAGAGCTGGCATATGCACTTGGGCTTCTGAATTGTGTTTGGTTACTTGAATGACAGTTTCTTTTATGTTTACATCTAGATCTAGATAAAAGTTTTGTAATGCAGAAATCTCCATTACACATTCCATTAGAAAGCTCTAGCTTTTAGTGGTTTCATTTTGATTTAAAAAATATTTTTAAATTTAGGAGAGCTGTAAAAATTTTTGCTGTAAATGAGTAATGATTTGCAGTAGGGAAAATGTTTGTTTATAGAGAATAATATTATATTAATTAAACCAGTTCTCCTAACTGGTTAACAGGTTATTTAAAAACTACTGATAGTTTTCTTGCTTTTGTGAGTTTCATTGTTTTACTGAGAAAAAGGGAAAATATTGGGGGGGGTATAAGTAAAATCAGAGAGTTTTTCATAGGCTCCAGGGCAGAATGCTTCAGCAGAGAGGGTTGTTGTGAGGTAGAGATATATGTGTATGAAAGGCATGTATTTTGGTGTTGTAAACTTGGCAATATCTGTGGCTTGAATACAGCAGGAAAAATACCCTAGTACGCTTGCTACATAATTTCAGTGAAGAAACTACATTAACTATTTAAAACTAAGAAGGAAAACTTGTGTTATACCTGTGATAGTGTAAGAAATACAGGCCAAACTAATGTAACTGGAAGAATGTCACCTGAAGAATTCAGCTAATAAAAATATTACTTCTACCAAGTGTGGCATATTACTTTATAGGAAAATTCTTAATCTAAATGTGCAGTGGATTTTTTCCAGCCTCCTTAAAAATATTAAAAGGAGCAGACTTTTTTTCCTTCATCGCAATGCGATGCAGGTGGTTGTTGCCTGACCACTTGGTTGTGGGATTCCTTGGGGAGGTGGAAGAAGCGTAGTAGTCTTGGAGGCATTCTTTAGAGCATTACCTGGCTTGCTGGGGCAAGTTCATTCTAGGTGCCACTGGGATATGTTAACTGGAAAATAATATCTAGATTTCATTTTCTATTGATGCACAGTGCATACATTCTGATTTGGGCAGAAGAGATGTTAATTCATAACTGTAGCTGGTGCTATTGCTATGGAGATAATCTTTTTTTGTGTGAGAAGCACCTAAGTTTTCTTTCGCTTCAGAAAGAAAAATTCTGAAACGTGTTGCAGTGAAGTGGGATTGTTGTCTTTTGAAGACATCATAAGTGTTTCTTCGTGTTCTTCAGGAGCTCAGTGTTATCTGCAGTTCCCACTAGAGGCTGCTCAAATGCTAGTGCTAGGAATCAGTTGCGCTCTAGAATTCACTTATCTTTATCCTCTTTATTTTCCTGTTCTTTGTTGTTGTCTTTTAATATTGTATCAATTGCAAGTACAGCAAAGCAGATGGTGAGTTTTTTAAGTGGAAAAAACAGTGATTGATAGTTACCTTACTAAGTTATTTCAAGCCCTGCTGTGTTTGTGAATTTTGCAAATTAATAAGCGAGCAATCATTCTGAAAAGCAAGGTAGCATAATACAGACATTTGGATTTTAATGCACTTAGAAAAGTCCAGTTCTTAAGCAAAAAGGGACCACCAATTCAATTGTAGTCCTGATACTGCCTTTTGAATATGTCTGGATTGTGTGAAAGTAGTTTATGTAGTAAAAAATGCCTATTCCACATCACAATCTGTAGAACTGAAAACATTTTTTTCCTCAAACTTGTATCCACATTAATTGTCAACTGCCTTTTTTTTTTTTCTTTTCTCCCAAATGATCTATTTACAGATAAATAATTTAAGGAAACCCTTGCTGCTTATATGATTTATGCTTCCCTTTGAGACTGTTGTGGAGCAGTAGTTGTTTGGGACTAAAAAAAAAAATCTTATTAAGTAATGGGAGTTGAACATATGAATATGCATGCTAGGAAATTTGTTTATAAGGCCTTAACTTGTACTTTTCTTGGGTGACCAATAGCAATTTCTAATTGAGTAATGGTTAAAAAGGTTGAAATTTTGTAGGCTCCAAGTAGAATGGCCACACCATAATGAAGATTTGACTGACTCCTTCAGCTTGCTCTTTCCTTCTTCTAAGCATCCAAAACATTAACTTTAAATCACTCTTTTCTACCTTCTGTAGTTACTCTCTTGCTTTGTAAAGATTGCTTCTGTCTGTTACAGACAAAGGTGAAACAGCCATTTGCCAAAACACAAAGTTGCTTTAGCTTTTCTGTTGTATCATTCCATCATCTGTGTAGTTCTTTGCATCAACAATCAAATTCATACACTGCAACAGATTGATGTATGAACTCATGTCTCTAAACTACAAACTCCCTTCTGTTCTTTGGTTGCTATTTTGTTTGTAAAATTGTGGTTTGTCCTTCCTCCTGCAAATTGCCTTCCCTCTTGTATAGGTTAAGTTCTGGCAAAAAGATAAATAATAGTCCCGTATTCACACAGCTCCATCCCAGAGTGACAAGGTCGGTAGAGTCTGGGAAAGACGTTTTGGGATACTGAGGAGGGATGTGGAGTTCAGCATTAATCACCCGCAGGGAGAGTGATCCTTCGATACAAGATTCACATAGGATAATTCAGGTTAGAAGGGACCTCAGGAGTTCTCTAGTCCAAATTTCTATTCAAAACAGAGTGAGCTATGAGATAAGATCAGATGTCCTGGGGCTTTTCATAGACATGATCTTTTTTAAGTTGAGACTCTAAACGGTTACAGTTAAAGATGAGATTAAGAGGTTTTACATGTCTTGGGTATGTAAAATAGCTAAATTTAGAGTTTTGCATATCAGTAAAGTGTTTGTCTTCAGAGTAAACTTTGGAAGCCTGTGTCCTTTTATGTTATCACAAGGTCATGTAAAAGTTAAAATTCTCCCAGTATGTTTTACTTTTGCTTCATTTGAATAATTTAAGATTAGTTCTGGTTTTGGTCAGCACAGCTTTATTCCTCAGATTGTTACCAGGTAGGAAGGGCTAAACTGATATTGTGCCCAAGAAGCAAAAATAAATTAAAAGTTCTAGATGCGTCTTTTCCTGAAGTATTGACCACAGGCCTGTGAGACCAAGATGCTGGGGCAAATATAGTGGTTCAGCACCTTACTACAAAGGGAACCTCAGATAGATAGCCCTTGACGTGGCTCTGCTGTCACTCTTTACTATATGATATGGACTGAGAATTGTTTATCCTTCTGAGGCATTTATATATGTGTAATTATTACCATGTTACCTATGTACCTTTATGAATTCCTGTTTCTGTTCAGGTGAGTTGTCCATCTATTGATACAATTTGATATTCATATAAGTATTTCTTATAGCCCAGCTAGAGGCAAACTTTGAGGAAATGGAGAATCACCTGTTGTGTCTTGAGGACCTGTGTGAACAGTGTGAGTTGGAAAGATACAAATGTATGCAGACGTTACAGCTGGAAAACTACAAGAAAACAAAAAGGTAAATAAAACAATTGCTATAAATATAAATTAGCATAAAGTATAAGCCTTTTGTGATTATTACCCTCCATATATAATATAATCCCTTTTATTTTCATCTTTTAAAGAAACAGTAATCTTTGACAGAAAGTTGCAAATTTGTAGTAGATTCATTTAGTGTCGATCTGGCTCTTGGTGATGAACAAAGAGTATGTGTATTTGGAAAATTATCGCTACATTGTTGTTAAGATGAAGTTGTGCTTATTATTCTCTACAAACAATTAGAGTAAGGGCTATTGCTAATAAACACTGATAAATTGTTGTTTCTTTTAATTCCTTGCCCTATTTTTTGGATTTCTTTTTTCCCTCTGTACCTGTAAAGTTAGGAACTGTATTTTTCTCTATATTCCTTTCAGTCCTGTCCTGTCCTGTCCTATCCTATTAGTACATCTCTCTCTGTGTGAAAGGTAATCTTCTGCTGGTCTCTTCATTTGAAAACCAGACATTACTACTTGGAATCAAAGTTCAACTTGTAGCAGCATGTGTGAAAAGTCAGAACCTTCAACTCTTGAGTTTCATGTTTACCTGAAGGATAAAGTAGCAAGAGATAAATATGAAAAGCTTAAACAGCTTAAAGTATTGACTTTTTTGGTTTTGTTACTGACAGTGCCAAAAATAACCTTACTGAAGGAGATAAGAAAAGCAGTATTGAGGAGTTAAATTGAATTAGTTTGCCAAAGACAGTCTCTGGTAGACCTGTGTTATGGAGTACTGGGTAGATGCTGTCATAGGATCGGAGAATGAGACACACAAAGATAACAAAATTCAGGTCTTTTTATTAACAAAATAAGCTACTAAGCAGGATTATTGACCATTCTAGACATAACAGGAAAGGGGTAATTAGGGAAAAAGGGAAAAAAATACATACCGATCTGCTGGCAAGCTGGAGCATGATCCACAAGGACAGCATCATTATGTGGTGTATCATCAGTGATTGGTAGGCACAAGCTTTACATGGGTGTCCTCATGGAGGCACAAACTTTACATGGGTGTCCCCGTGGAGGCAACGGTGACCTTGCTGTACACCTGCCCAATGCACTCTTCGGTAAAATCCCGGTATTTATCCTGGAGCGGAGATGTGGTTTTGATACATGTGGCCAATATGTATCAAGACGTTCCGCTGGCATACCTGTCACACAACACAAGGAGGCTGGAGCGCCTGCGCAGCTGATCGTGCAGCCCTGCACGCGCTCAGCGTGTATTTATGATTGGTTCATTTTAATGTCCACGCACTGTGCAGGTGACTGGTTGAGCCAATCCGGATTGGGAGCTACTCATGCACTTGGCTGTGGTTTTGCTTGCAACAGCTGTAAATTGTTTCTTTCCTAGGCACAGGTTCACTTTATTCAGCCAAGTCCCTGTTTTTGAGTCCTTTGTTCTCTGTTTCTTTTGCAGTGGGCCTTTTATCATGTTCCCAAGCACAGGTCTGCTTTATTCAGCAAAGTCCTTGTGTGGGTCCTTTGTTCCCTGTTTTTTTTGCAGTGGGCCATTTCCAGCCACGGACCATACATTCTATTGCTTATTTCTAACTTTTCCTAATACAGATGCGGATGCTGACAGACTTGGAGCCAGCACTCACATGGGGATAACCAGGTTACTTGATCTGTTCAATTAGATGTCCTTCTGTTAGCCAGAGGAAGCTAAATCCTGGTCTCCTCCCAAATAAACAATCTACCCCTAATTACTTATTCCCTATTGGTCCTGGTTTTGGTACATCTGTACTCAAATTTGGCATTTCTCATACCATTATCAAGAGAATCTTGATCTTCTGTGGCGTTACAGATATGGTTGCCAAAGTACCACTGGTGTTGCAAGTTCTGCCTCCCAGGAGGTCCCCAATATTTTGAAGGTCCCCCTTCAATTTTCTGTGATGTTTTTCTGTTTCTCACTTAACTCCCCTTTAACCATCTGTGAAATCCAGCCATCCCTCATGGTGCTATCTGTGGCTTTTGTCAGCATCTTACTCTGTTACCTGTCACATCTGGCAATTTCTCACGTCATGTGCTTTGGTTTTTCGCATCCTGTTCAGGTAGCCTAACCTCAGGCCAGCGCCTTGGTCCTGTCATTTTCCTGCAACCTGGGTTTGCTCTTTCCCAGGTCAGGGCAACACCATTTTCTTTCTCTCCACGAAGAGTCAGCAGTAGTCAGTATAGCAGAATATTCACTTGTTTGGACCTATTTAAGTAATTCAGTATTTAATAGTAATAATTTCAAAAAGCTAAATATATAATATTTAACCAAATAACACACAAATTAAAAATGTACGTAAAACAACAGATTTGTAACCTCTAAAACATAGGAATCTGTCTGAAGTTTTCTGAGTTCTGTTTGTTCTCTCTGTCATCCTTGCCCTCTCTCCCCCTCCCCTAGTCTCTGCTTTCAACGTCAAAATAAAGTGTTGAACTGTTGCATGCTCTGCTTAGCAGCATCTAATCAGTTTTATAAATAGAATGCTAAGCAAGCTACTTAATGTAATTATATAAGCTGATTACATTTGGTCAGATCTAGACAAAACAGGAAAAATGCAGGTAATTTCTGGTTGATCACTACCGCTGTATTTATTTCGGTAAGAAATTAACTGCTAGCTCATTACTAGAAGGACATTTGCCAATGTAGATACTTGAAGAATGAACAGTCAGTTAATGTAATGTGAGTGTGATTTGTTGTGTATGTTTGGAGCTTGTATCCAGTCTTTCTCTCTTTAGTGTTTGGGGTTTTTACTGTGCTGCCAGCTACTGAAAGAATCAAGTGAGGGGTTCAAGAGTCTATGCTCTCTCTTAATACAGTAATTATTTTCAGGGAGTGATTTGTTTTGTTGTTTTGACAATATAGGGGTGAAAACTAAGATGAACACAGACTCTGGAAACTGTTATTTTAAACTTGTAACAAAAAGTAATTTTATTATAAAATCACTGTATAGCTTAGAGTAGAAGCTCATGTATTTCAAGTCTCTTGAGAAATCTTCCTATATGAAAGACTTGGAAGAAAGTGCTTTAGGTCAACATGAAACCTTTGAAATGCAGCTTATAGGAACTATGGGAACTAATTCTCAGAAATATTCTCCCTGTTATATACTGCAACTGTATTTCAGTTCAAACAGATCAGTTTTTTTCCCTTTTGTCATTGTGTTGAGTACTAGTTTCAAAGTGGATTTATCAATCCAAAGTGTTTAACCACAATATATTTTGAAGACTGGTGTTTGGGAGGAATTTCTTGTTTTTCAGTGTGGTTATATCTGGATTTTTAATAGTCTCTTTTTTGTTGTTGTTTGTTTTTAAATCCACTGATTGGGGTACCAGTATGGTTGTATGATGTCTAGATTCCAGCCTTGTTTTCTCTAGTTAGTCTTGCTTATTTACGTGTATGTTAGCATTAAGCCATGCTGTTGTGTTTCCTGTCCTTTTCTCAAACACACAATTCTTCTGTTTCTGATTGTAGAAAATTCCTTGTATCCCTCCAGTTTCCCATGACAGTCCTTGTATTCCCAAGACAGTGCACTGTGTCCTTTAGGAAGCACTATCAGAAGCTCACTTTTGTGCCAATTTTTATGTGCACTGAATTGCAGGCTTATGGCATAAGATAAAATCATTCTGTCCTGAAGCTGCACTTCCTATGAAGCTCTTAGTACCCTTGGTATCCATTTCAGATGGATCACCTTTTTTTGAAAAATAGAAACTCCTGGTTGTTTTATCAGTTAAAAGGAGCTGCACGTCTGCAACATTTTGTAGGAATACATGGGAGATAGCAACGAGTCCTTGTCACTGGAAATGAGTGAATACATTTTACTGTGTGCCGTTTGACTTTAAACACAGTTGTCTGAATTTTAATTTTTTTAGGATGTCTTGTTAAAGAGTCCTTTCTGTTTTTTTCAGTAGTTATCTGCTTTTAGAGCAGACAAAGAAGGAAAAACCTGAGTCTGAAGTATACCTTGATGGTAGGGTATACTTCAACATGAACGTTTAGTAACATTGCAAACCTTAGTGGGGCTAATTTTTCTTCCTTTCTGGTGAGATTTAAAGAAATGCTTTACCTAAAAAGAAAATATGTCCTTAAAATGTATATTTATTCCTGATTTTTGTTTTTAGGGATTATTTGTTGTCAAATAATGTGCAACCCTACGCTTTGGTAATTAGTGTGGTAGATGAGGAACTGGACAGATTGTCGTCATTCTTGTCAGATGCATTGCCATGCCATGATGTTGATTTTATGCTTCTGGAGGAGAAGAATGTTTTATTCACTTTCTCCTTCAGAAAGGTATAAATTCATAGCAATTGCATTGTGTATGCTAGAGATGTGTGAGAAAATGTCTTAAACTGTTATCGCTGTTAAGTTTATTTCTTCTGTATGGTCTTCTGGTGGTTTTATCCCTCTTTCTAATTGCTTTGGGAGCCTAAGAAACAGTAAGGAATGTAGCAGTTAAATACAGTGGTTTATGTTAGGCCTGAACAACATAAACATTTCAAAAGTAAATACACAAAACTTCTTTAGACAATTCAGACTAGTCTGTTTTTGAAAAAGTCCTAACTTGGGCCAATTAATGGTTATTAACTCACTAACATAAAAAAATATTTTGTATTGTTATTTTTTTGCTATGTTTTGCTTTCCAGTATTATCTTTACCTCCTGCAGTATCACTGTAAAAAGTAGTGGGGGTTTTTGTGAATCTTCTTTAACCTAAATTAATTGTTTTTTTTACCAAGGTCAAAAGAGAGAAGATGGAATAGGTAATACACTGCCATACAAAATAGTGTTGCCTAAAAGACTTTGATGTCTGTATATCTTGTTTGGATCCCATAGCATTCCCCAAGCGATAAGCTAGAACAGTACTCTGTAGAGTACATCATCCTCAGTGGTGACTCCCTCCCACCTGGCAGTGACAAATTTAATTGTACCTTCGTAACCCTTTAAAGTTTTGCACATAATTTATCAAAATAACTTTTTATTTGTAAAAAGATATACCATTGTTG